GCTTGTGCTCAGGTGTATTTCAGATGTGCCTGTACAGTCTCTTCCTTGGTTCCATCTCTGCTGAGGTAAAGGATAGGTATCTTGGTACCCCATTTGGTAAGAAAGTTAACTGCCTGTGCCGATTCCTCCCCATTCTCTGCTAATGCAACTTAGAGCCAGTTTGGTGTAGTGGTTAGGAGCGAGGACTCGAATCTGGGAGAACCAGGTTTGATTCCTCACTCCTCCACATGCAGCTGCTGGTGTGACCTTGGGCCAGTCACAAGTTGTCTCAGAGCTGTTTTCTCAAGAGCAGTCCTCGAAAGAACTCTCTCAGCCCCACCTACTTCACAGGGTGTCTGTTGTGGGGTGGGGAAGGGAAAGGAAAGGAGATTATAAGCTGCTCCGAGACTCCTTCGGGGAGTGAAGGGCGGGGTATAAATGCAACCTCTTCTTCTCCTTCTCCTTCTCCTTCTGATTTGGGAGCCTGGGTATTCATTAGCTTGTTGACTTTTCAGATGTACTTGTTGCCAGTTGAATTGGTTTTATGCGAAGATGCTCGCTGTTTCCGTGACGATTCCCACTACTAACATCTGCCCTGCTATAAATGGGCACAAAAAACCTTACCTTCCTCCCAATAAGACCAAAAAGTGGAGACAGACATTTTCCAACACCCTCTAAATTTGCAGGTGGAACAAATTCCGAGAAGCAGGCTTTGAGTGCGCAATTAATTCCACGTCCTCATCAATGTGCGAGGGCTTATTCTGTGGGGTGCTTGGTTTTGGAAGGCGCGTGTCACTTACTGCCTTCTCATTTGGCAGCGCAGAAGAGAGTTCTCAAAGTAGGAGCTCCTTGGAAAAGATTACGCTTGGCTTCTCCGGTTAGTTATATAGGAACTGGGGCAGAGGAGCAAGCGCAACTGCGTTTCAGTCCCATCTTTCTTCCGACCCACCCCGCTGTTGCTAATTGCAATGGGGCTTCTTTATGCGTCTAGACCCAGATGCTTTGATTTCTGTTTGCTGACTTACACGATCCCTTGTCTCTCTCTCTCGACTCTAGAAATGGAAGCCTTCCATGGAACGGGATCCCGGAGGTGTCCCCACAGTACGGCATAGGGTGAGTACACAGTAGAGGGAGACGTCATCTGCAGTACAGAGGCCTGCCTTGGGTTTTTTTAACAATGACCTAAAGCAGGGGTGTCAGACATGCAGCATGGGGGCCGGATCAGGCCCCCAGAGGGCTTCTATCAGGCCCGCAAGGGACTGGCTGTCTCCTGCTTCTTCCTCCCGTTCTGCTGCTGCCGTTGTGTCATAGCTTGCTTTCCTAGACTCACTCAATCGCTCAGGAGAGATAGATAGGCAAGCTTCTGCTCCCTGCACTGGGCTGAGGCTCCCCCCAGATTGCAACAGCACAGACATTTTGATGCAGTAATTCAGAGCAAGAGGTGTCAGTTATCAGAGACTGTTAAATAAACAAAATATTGCAAGCATGCTAATGTTTTGAGCATGTTTTTATTTTAAGTAAAAAAAAAATCTTTGTGTCTGCGTCCTTTATGAAGTTTATATCTCCGCTGCCTGGCATTACATTTTATGACACACATGGCCCAGCCCAACAAGGTCCAATTTATGTCAAATCCGGCCCTCCATAACAAATGAGTTCGACACCCCTGACCTAAAGTACCAGACCCGCTTGGAAGAATGCATGTTTAGAGAATTTGGAAGGAGAACTGAGGGCCGTGTGGGGATAAGAGGTTCTGCTAGATGCGCAGATGGTGGGGTAGGGATTGAACTGCACCAAATGCTAACTTTCTGCCCGCTGGAAATTCTGCTTGGTATGCCTCTGGGTTACCATTCAGCTGACCTCCTCGGGTTCCTCCCTGAAGCCGAGAGCCGTACATTATCTCTCTCTCCACTCATATTGTCAGGATTTTGTTGCATTATATATTTTGTTTCCCAATTTAACAAGAGGCCTGTCAAGGTGCTTGACTTGGGTGGGAAATGCCCTTCTACCATCCAAGACAGCGCAGGATCAGAGGAACAGTGCTGGGCCTAGAGCCAGTTTGGTGTCGTGGTTAAGTGTGCGGACTCTAATCTGGGAGAACCGGGTTTGATTCCCCACTCCTCCACTTGCAGCTGCTGGATGAACTTGGGCAAGCCATAGTTCTGTCAGAGCTGTCCTTGAAAAAGAACAGTTTCTGTCAGAGCTCTCTCAGCCCCACCCACCTCCCAGGGTGTCTGTTGTGGGGTGGGGAACGGAAAGGCGTTTGTAGGCCGCTCTGAAACTCCGAGTGAAGGGCGGGCTATAAATCCAATCACTTCTTCTCTTCTCTTCTTCTCTTGTTCATCCCATGGCACTGCCAACCTGGTTGACAGGCAGTGGGGCAAGCACTTCTGTACCCCCCAAGTCTTTTATGCAGAGTGCCACCACCAGGCAGGCAAAGGATGGGTTCAGGCCTGGAGAACTCAGCCCACCCAACCGCTTTATTGTTCGGTTTCTATTAGTTTATTTATTTCAAAAACAGCAGGGGAAAAAAAGAACAGCTTTGAATTCCTGCCTCTTGATTTCACGTGTATCGCCCCGTCTCTTGCAGTAGAAAAGAGCAAGAGCTCAGTCCCACCTTAAAGGCTAACAAAATTTGTGGCAGGGGAGGAGCTTTCATGAGTCACTGCTCACTTCTTCCGTGGCCCATTCTGCCTCTAGCATTTGCTCCCGCTGAGCTCCCAAACCCACACTGGAACAGAAGAAGATGGGGCTCACAACCGGGCCAACACCATACTGACTGCAGAGTCACCCCTGAATGGCCATAAAATGGCCATAAATCTATGCAGACAAGTTACCATAAAACGGAGAGATCAAACGGAGTGAAAGAGGCATGCGGTCTGGACACTGCCAAACTTGCTTAACGTAAGAGCCCCATAGAATAAACGTCAAATGTTTGAGAGCCACAAGACATGGGAAATATTACATGCCTTTACTGGGAAATATGCAGATTTGCTTTTTATTAACATTAAACGAGAACAGAGGTCGATTCGGGGGGGATCGCGGGGATCGCAGTTCCCCTGGGTGAGGTGTGGGGGGCGGGGCACATGACGAAGCCCCGCCCCCTGCTTCCGACTGCCCCGCTTCCGGCCCTCATTCAGCCAGGAAAAGGCAGGAGAAGAGGGAGGGTAAGTTGCTTCCCCCCCGCCTCTCCCCACCCCTGCCTGCCTGGGGCCAGGGAGGGCCTTGGCGGGGCTTCCTCGCACTCCTGCCGGCCTTGCAGGTCCACCGCCGGGCCCCTGATGTCAGGGGGTGTGGCATATGCTAATGAGTTATGCTAATGAGTTCCCCTAGCTCTTTTTCTACGAAACGACCCCTGAACGAGACTGCCAAAAATAATAACAAAAGCGGTAAAAGCAGATATTGATAATGAATGTTTATTTGTCCAGTGATATTTGTTTGCTAATATTTAGCTTCCCCAGCCGCCCTGCTGGGAGCCGCACAATATGTGTGAAAGAGCCGCATGCAGCTCCCGAGCCACAGTTTGGCCACCCCGAGCTATCCCATCTCTTGTTTCTCTTGGTGAGAATACACTGTGTGTTTATATATACAAGGTCTGCATCCATCCACATTCATGGACTTCTGAGCTCTGCCTGTAATACCTTAGCCCCAATAATCACCAGTAGGGGACAGAGCAAGAACAGAAATAAAGCTTTCCTTGTTGAGGAGGCTTACAGTGCCGTGGGAGGTAGATGGGCCAAAGATAAAAGGCACATCCAGGTTTTGATAAATGTGTCGGGAGGGTAGGGCAGTTTGTAAAAAAAAAGGGTGAAGTCTGGCGATACCGTAAAGCCTTTGACAAGAAGTGGGTTATAAGTAGAGATCCATTTGTCAGCCTGTCTAAATAGGCTGAAGAATGGAGTTGGGCCATGAATGGCAAATTTCTCCTTTAAAAACAATACTACTTATAAATGCAGAATTCTGGAGCACTCTTATCATTGGTGAAATACTAAGGCGACTTTTTCTCTCCCTCCTCTCTTGGACAAGGAAAATTCAGGAGGGACAAAAGGAAAGACGAGCCCTTCTTTTCACAGAGAGAGCTTAAAATGTGGAATTTGCTGCCAGAGGATGTGGTGATAGCCACAGTAAACTGCTTTAAAAGGGGATTAGACAGATTCATGAAGGATAAGTCTGTCAGTGGCTACAAGCCATGGTGGCTGAGGGGAAGCTCCACCTTCCGAGGCACTGAATCCTCTGAATCCCTGAGCCAGGAGGCAACTTCAGAGGAAGGGCTTGTCCTCTCTGCCTCGTTGTTGGCCGTCCAGAGGAACTGGTTGGCCGCTGTGTGAGACAGGATGCTGGACTAGACGAGTCATAGAATCACAGAGCTGGAAGAGGCCATACAGGCCATCTAGTCCAACCCCCTGCCCAGTGCAGGACCACTGGCCTGATCCAGCAGGGTTCTTCTTGTGTTCTTAAATGCCTCGAAGAAGTGCATATGGTCTCGAATGCAGGTGGGATAAGCCAGTGCTGGGCATAGGTGGTAGTCTATCCTGTACTGGTCAGTAATGGTGTAAACTACCATAACCCCCCTCCCACGTACTGTGACATTGGTTTGATTTTTCTGTTAGGAAGCCTTTCTTGTTTTAGACTAGAATAGATTTTGGGAGATTAGAGTTCATGAAAAGAAGTTCCAGCGCAGGTGAGGCATCCGACGTTCCCGGCATCGCAACTGAATGAGTCGTCGCGAGCGGGGGGAGCTTTTCTGGGCGGAGCGAGGGACAGGTAACAGGACTGCACAGGGGAGCCTGAGCCCTCGTAGCCTGATTGGCCGAGAGAGTTTGCATTCCTTTTTGAGCCCCTGGCTTCCTCTTGGAGGGCCTATGCAGCTGGCACCTAAAGGCTGGATCTGTCAACTCGCCTGCCCGGTTTGATTTCGGTTGCTCAGAATCACCATCTGCTCTGAGCATGACCTGGCATGAGAGGAGACAGTCAAGATCCTCTGGATTCGCGGAGCTCAGGCCCCTCCCTGAGCGTGCTCATCCCTCCCTCCTCAAGCTGCAAAGTCTTCTCAGATTGCTCTGGTTTTTTAAAAAATTAAACTTTCCACTTTACTTTTCTCCTCCAAAAATAAATACGAGAATAAGATTTAAACACACACAAAGCGACGCTTCCGCACCCAAGGCTGTTCCCATGATTTACCAGCCCAGAAGGAACAGAAGCCCGGCTCAGATTTCATTCAGCTGGCAAAATACATTCTCAACCTTCCATCGTCATTTGGCTCAGTGGCAGAGCCTCTGCTTGGCATGCAGAAGGTCCCAGGTTCAATCTCTAGCATCTCCACTTAAAGGACCAGTCACTCGTAGAGATGTGAAGGCCTGGGAAAAAACTGGAAAAATTTGAAAAAAACCCAGTTTTTTTCCTGAAGCCTTTTTTGTTTTTTTTTGAAAAATTGGAAAAAGAAAAGAAACGAAAAAAAATTGATTATGGAACGTTTTATTTTAACGATGAATAAAATATTTTAAGATAAGGTGTTCAAATATTTTCCAAATCATTTCTAAAAATATACATATATGGTATCAGATTGATCTAATTTCTGTGCACTGAGGACAAGCAAGTCCTAGGTTACAAACTGAACTCTCCAATGCAAGAACAAGATGCATTTCTTCCTTTAGGAGGTGCTACTGTCAGAAGAAAATAAAAAGGTTTCAGTTTTGTTTTTGCATGTGGGTGGGTATTCTGTTTGTAATTATTGTTTGGGTATGCTATATCTTTAATATGCTAGTTGTGATAATTTCATGCCAAGTAAAAATGTCCATAGTCATATTTTATGTTCCTAAAGTAACAGAATGACTTTCAATCTGGAAAAGACAAAAGAAATGCTAATGTAGCATTTCCCCCCCAATTTTTCCGAAAATTTCCGTTTCTCCCCAAAAAAAACTGGAAAAAACCCAGGGTTTTATCCGAGCTTCAAAATTTCCGGAAATTTTACATCTCTAGTCACTTGTGATGGGAAAGACCTCTGCCCGAGACCCTGGAGACCTGCTGCTGGTCAGACTAGACAAGACAGACCTTGATGGACCAAGGGTCTGAATCAGTAGACAGCAGCTTCATGTCTAATTCACAGGCAAACCCAAACTTGCCTTCAGTCCTGTCCGAGCTTCCTCTCCGAGCTCACTTGGTTCCACCCAGGTTCAGTCTCCCGTTAATCGCCCAGCATCTCCAGTTGAAAGGACCAGGCAGCAGGTTAGAAGAAAGATCTCTGTAGGGGACACTGGAGAGCTGCTGGCGCCAGTCTGAGTAGACAGTGCTGCACTTGAGGGACCGCCGGTCTGATTCAGTAATATCAAACACTCGTCAGGGAGGCTCTAGGCCAGTGGTGGCGAACCTATGGCACGGGTGCCAGAGGCGGCACTCAGAGCCCTCTCAGTGGGCACGCGTGCCATCGCCCCAGCCAGGCCCAGACCGTCAATAAAGTGTGGAATTCTCTCCCAAATAATATTTATTTATTTATTTTTGAGATTTCTATGCCGCCCTACCCAATGGCTCAGGGCGGCTAACGACAAGTTTAAAAATTGAATACAATAAAACACTGTTACACGTATAATAAAATCTGGTGCTGCAAAAGCCTACATAGAATTACACGAAACACAGCAACCCACATTTACCGATAGAATTCTTAACAGCGAGAGCGCCAGGAGCAGTATTTCACAGCACAGTCGGGCAACGTCTGCATTTGGGATTGCTTTCCTTACTGTGTTTGGGTCGTCTTAAGTTAATGTATGAGTTGTTTTTTCTAAAGTAAAACCTCAGTATTCAGGTTAAATTGCCGTGTTGGCACTTTGCGATAAATAAGTGGGTTTTGGGTTGCAGTTTGGGCACGCGGTCTCTAAAAGGTTCCCCATCACTGCTCTAGGCTGATCCTGCATTGAGCAGGGGATTGGTTGGCCTCTGCGGCCCCTTCCAGCTCTGTGATTCTGTGAGTGTAAGGCAGCTCCATGTGTGTTCATGTATGCTATCAAACAAAGACTGAAGACTTTTTATGTAGTTATAAGTAAATGTTCTGGTCACCACACCTCAAAAAGGATATTTTAACATTGGGGAAAGTGCAGGAAAGGGCAACTCGAATGATAAAAGGGTTGGAGCACTTTCCCTATGAGGAAAGGTTAGAGCGCTTGGGGTTCTTTAGCTTGGAGAAACGACGGCTGAGGGGTGACATGATTGAGGTTTATAAGATTATGCATGGGAAAGAGCAGGTAGAGAAAGAGGTACTTTTCTCCCTTTCTCACAATACAAGAACTCGTGGGCACTCCATGAAATTGCTGAGCGGTCGGGTTAGAACGGATAAAAGGAAGTACTTCTTCACCCAAAGTCTGCTCCATATGCTTATCTAATTCCCTTTTGAAGCCGTCCATGCTTGTAGCCGCCACCACTTCCTGTGGCAGTGAATTCCAAGTGTTAATCCCTCTTTGGGTGAAGAAGTACTTCCTTTTATCTGTTCTAACCCGACCGCTCAGCAATTTCATGGAGTGCCCACGGGTTCTTGTATTGTGAGAAAGGGAGAAAAGTACCTCTTTCTCTACCTGCTCTTTCCCATGCATAATCTTATAAACCTCAATCATGTCACCCCTCAGTCGTCGTTTCTCCAAGCTAAAGAGCCCTAAGCGCCTTAACCTTTCCTCATAGGGAAAGTGTTCCAACCCCTGTGGAGTCTTGTGAGCAAAAATTCTACTTTGTGAGCTGCTGGCATTAAAGTTGTGAGTGAGCGATTTGGCTACTGCATAAATTAGTGTGCTCTGGAGCCCTCCTTCCTGAGCGAAGACCAGGATGTGTGAGCCGGAGGCTAAAAAGCTGTGAGCTAGCTCACACTAACTCAGCTTAGAGGGAGCACTGGCCAGGACTTTTTTGGCCCTGGCCCTCGCCTGTTGGAACTCCCTGTTGGAAAACGTCCGTGCCCTGCGGGAGTTATTACCAGCGTTCCCTCTAAGCTGAGTTAGTGTGAGCTAGCTCACAGTTTTTTAGCCTCTGGCTCACACATTTTTGTCTTAGCTCAGGAAGGAGGGCTCCAGAGCAAATTAATTTATGCAGTAGCCAAATCACTTGCTCACAACTTTAATACCAGGAGCTCACAAAGTAGAATTTTTGCTCACAAGACTCCACAGCTTAGAGGGAACATTGGTTATTACCTTTCCGCAGGGCATGCCAGGCAGAGATGTTCCGCCAGGCATTCAGTTGAGGACAGTGAGGGCAGTATGACACCTGCCACTCTCACATGCTCCCCCCCATCCTTTGTAACCCCTCCCCCTAGGAGTCTGGGGAGCGGAATTTCTTTTTCCCCCACCATCTTGGAATGTATGTTGTTTATTTACTGCCGTGTTTTTAAGCAGAGGATAGGACCCGAAGGAACGGGTTTAAATTACATGCAGAAAGGTATCGGCTGGATATTAGGGAAAACATTTTCACGGTCAGAGTGGTTCAGAAGGTGGGATCAGCTGCCTAGAGAGGTGGTGAGCTCCCCTTCCCTGACAGCTTTCAAGAAGAGGCTGGGCGAATATTTGTCAGAGATGCTTTAGGCCAGAGAGCCAGTTTGGTGTAGTGGTTAAGTGCGCGGACTCTAATCTGGGAGAACCGGGTTTGTTGCCCCACTCCTCCACTTGCACCTGCTGATGTGACCTTGGGTCAGTCACAAGCTCTGGCACAGCTGTCCTTGAAAAAAGAGCAGTTTCTGTCAGAGCTCTCTCAGCCCCACCCACCTCACAGGGTGTCTGTTGTGGGGAGGGGAAGGGAAAGGAGTTTGTAAGACGCTCTGAGACTCCTTTGGGTAGTGAAGGGCGGGGTATCAATCCAATCTCTTCTTCTTCTTCTTTAGGGTGGTCCTGCAATGGGCAGGGGGTTGGACTAGATGGTCTGTGTGGCCCTTTCCAACTCTGTGATTCTATGAATTTTAACATTGGTTTTAAATTAACTTACTTATTGTGTTCTCCTCTGTCGTAAGCCGCCCTGAACCCTGCTTGCAGGGAAGGGCGGCCCAGCAAATCCAATTTCATAAATGAATAAAGTTGAGACTGTTGCAAGTGCTTCCTGGATTGTCCCTAACTCATCTCTTCTTCCTTCCAGCAGAAGAAGCAGTTGGGCACAGTGAAAGAGCGGAAGAAGGCTGGCCGCCCACCCAAGCATCCCACAGCCATGCTCAAGAACAGCGTGGTAAATACTTCCTCCACTTTCTCATGGGGCTTGTTTCTGGAAGGGCTGAACTGTGACCCCTGAAGAAGTGACTTGGAAAGCCTTTAATACCTGTGTGCACGAGGGTCACGGATCAAGGCACCTCTTTCTCCCTCCGTCAGCCACGTTGCGGGAGCCAGTTGGGTCCGCCAAGAAGGCTGCTCTCAGAGTGAGGCAAGAGGGGTCATCCATGTTGGGAGTGGATGGGAGAGGAAGGGTAGGGGCTTTGGCCCCAGGCTCTGATATGGACCTCAGTTCTTCACTGCTATCTTTACATAAGTACATAAGAGAAGCCAGTGTTGGATCAGGCCAATGGCCCAGTCCAACACTCTTGTCACACAGTGGCCAAAAATACCAGGTGCCCTCAGGAGGTCCAGCAGTGGGGCCAGGACACTAGAAGCCCTCCCACTGTTGCCCCCCACCCCCAAGCACCAAGAATACAGAGCATCCCTTGCCCCAGAGTCCCTATCTATATCTCGTGGCTAACAGCCCCTGATGGACCTCTGCTCCATATGTTTATCTAACTCCCTCTTGAAGCCGTCTAGGTTAAGAACATGAGAACATAAGAGAAGCCAATGTTGGATCAGACCAATGGCCCATCCAGTCCAACACTCTGTCACACAGTGGCCAAAAACACAAGGTGCCATCAGGACAAGCCCTCCCATTGTTGCCCCCCCCAGCACCAAGAATACGGAGCATCACTTGCCCCAGCCTGAGAGTTCCTATCTATACCTTGTGGCTATTAGCCACTGATGGACCTCTGCTCTATATGTTTATCCAATTCCCTCTTGAAGCCGTCCATACTACTGTGGAAGTGAATTCTTTCTGCCTCTTTCCCCTGAGATCAGATTATAATATAGGAATTCTTGAAATGCGTGTGTGGCAGAACAAGCCCCACTCTTGACCTGCAGACCTCGGTCTATCCAGACTTCCAAGGTATCGGCACCAGTGGTCGTCCAAGGTCTCCACCAGTGTTCCCTCTAAGCTGAGTTAGTGTGAGCTAGCTCACACTTTTTTAGCCTCCAGCTCACACATTTTTGTCTTCGCTCAGGGAGGATGGTTCCAGAACAAACTAATGATGTAGCCCAATCGCTTGCTCACAACTTTAATGCCAGTAGCTCACAAAGTAGAATTTTTGCTCACAAGACTCCACACCTTAGAGGGAACATTGGACCCACCTGACTTTCCCAGCACATAGAAGGGCTTTTCTCTCCCTCTCCCAGTTCAACCACTGCAACCACTTGGCCTTTGTAGGAATTGCCCAATGGGAGGACCAGTGTTCCCAACATACCTTCACTATGTTGCTGTTCTAAGGCCCTGCCCTTGTGCCTGCGTCTCCTGCTACCCAGCATCTGGTTACCATGGGGACAGCTTACTGCCTTGTGCGCCACTTGCCAGCTAACTGCCCCTCCCCCCCTTCTGAGGTCCAGTTTGGTGTAGTGATTGAGAGTGGTGGACTCTAATCTGGAGAACTGGGTTTGATTCCCCTCTCCTGCACATGCAGCCAGCTGGGTGGCCTTGGGTCAGTCACAGTTCTCTCAGAGCCGTTCTCTCAAAAGTAGTTCTCTCAGAGCTCTCTCAGCCCCACCCACCTCACAGGGCGTCTGTTGTGGGGAGAGGAAGGGAAAGGAGATTGTAAGCCGCTCTGAGACTCCAACTCTTCTTCTTTTTCCTGATGCATCAGTGTTCCCGCAACAATGATGATCTGTGTGATACAGGCAACTGCTACCAGCATTAAACTTTGTAAAGCGTTCATTAAAAAGAAAATGTCCTTACATATACGTTCAGCACAGCAACAGATTGAGCAAGGGATCCAAAAGAAAAGTGTAAAACACAGTTTCTCTGTCCCCCTCTCTGTACATGCCCTAGAGGATGTTAACCTGAGGCAGCCACTTTAGCTTTAAAAGTTAACCGTGATTCTAAAGGGTTCCTATTAGGGATGGGCATGAACTCCCAAACGAACCCCGGTGTGAGCACAAACCAGGCCGGTTCATGGTTCGCGAAATTGGTTCAGGACAATGTGTCTCTCATGATCCGCCCATGTTTTTCATGGAGGTTCATGGGAGACACGTTCTTGGGCTCCAAAGGCATTTAAATGCCTTCAGATCTTACTTCCGGGTCTGGCGGCCACCTGGAAGTGATCCCTGAAGGCATTTAAATGCCATTGGAGCCCACCACCGGCCCACAGCCCCACCCAAGTGAGCTCTGAAGGCATTTAAATGCCTTAGGAGTCCACCTCTGGGTCCGGCCAGCCTCGGTGAGCTTCAAAGGCCTTTATAGGCCCTTGGAGCTCACTCTGGGAGCTCAGTCAAGCTGGGAGGCCCGACTCAATCAAGCTCCCAGTTTGGGCTTTTTTTTTTTTTTTTAATAGGCCTTATGTGCCCACTTGGGGCCTGCCCATATAAGGGGACATAAGGTCTATAAAAACGAACCATGAACCCCAACGAACCACAATTTTCCTGGTTCGTGCCCATCCCTAGTTCCTATTCTTTTGGAGCCCCTGCTCAGGCTTGCAGTCCTGCATAAGGCAATGGCCGCCTCCAGCAGACCCCGGCTGAAAGCACGGCCTGCCTCAATGGAATCAGCCCAAAAGAGACCCTCCTTCTCATGCCCAAGACTTTATCATCTCGCTTTCTCCTCCCACTGATCAGGTCAGGTCAAAGCTCTTCCTGAAGTCTTTCTAGCACCTTAAGTCTTCCATATCTCTGTCCCCTGCTGGGTGTCCCTCCACAGTTCATCCAAATGTCTTGTCTGTCTCCTCCCTCTCCTTTTCCAAGTAGCTCTTCTCTCTCCTCCTCTTGTAAGCTGCCACGGAATCTTTGTGGTTCACGTACACTGCTCACCCCACGCAATCCAGTCCAATGTGACTTTAGGGACAATGTCCCAAGCAAGGTGAAGGAAAACCTGATGCTTGAGTGAGCTGTAGCAGTGCCGGTGGTAGGAAGGGAAGGAAGGTGCCACTGGCTTAGGCAATGGATGCATAAGATCTTGTTCGGGGTTATGTTGGAAGTAGAAGAATAAATCTCTTGACTTGTGGTTCATGGCCATACGTAGGCTTAGAAACTTGGAAGCCACATGGGGGGCCGGGCAATGTGCTGGGCAGTTGTGGGAACAAATCTCTTCTCTACAATGAATAGCCTGGCCCTGAGAACAGATACAAAGCTGGCTACTGAAATCCTTTTGGAGGTTAGAACATAAGAGAAGCCAATGTTGGATCAGGCCAATGGCCCATCCAGTCCAACACTCTGTGTCACACAGTGGCCAAAAATACCAGGTGCCATCAGGAGGTCCAGCAGTGGGGCCAGGACACCAGAAGGCCTCCCACTGTCCCCCCCCCCTCCAAGCACCAAGAATGCAGAGCATCACTTGCCCCAGACCTAGAGCTCCTAGCTATACCTTGTTGGTCTTTATCTCAAAGCATAGCTGCCAGCAGCATTTTGTGAGGCCTTACTGAGCGGGTGAAATTCAGTGTGCGCATGAAGCCTGCACAGATTTAGAACATCTGGGAGATGCTGGAGGAACCCTGTCTGCACCCATCCATCCCTTGCTGTAACCAGATGACATAGCATTGAGTGAGAAAATGCAGCTGCCCACTTCGCAGTGTTCAGAATGAGGATTTTGAGTGAATCCCCCTGCCCTAGATGTTCAGCACACCACACACAAAACCCCCTGGGGCTGACTGACATTCCGGGAACAGCTTTGTGCTGTCTCTAGCAACTTCCTCGGGAGGCCCACCTGCTACGGGTCCCAGATAACAGCCGCTATGTGTTTGTTTTGGCAACATTCTCTAAGTTGTAGTCCACATTTCTCACTGAGACTCAGGGCGGATTACACAGCATGAGTCAATACAGGCAACAGCATGGGGCATCCGATAAACCATGTAAAAGGATTAGGATTCTCGCTGTCTGATTTATAGTCCACCCTTCTCACTGAAGGTCGAGGCAGATTACACACCGTAAATCAATACAATCAACGGGATGGGAAATCCAATAAGCAGTGTTAAAGGATTAGGACTCTCTCCTTCCTTCCTTCCTTCCTTCCTTCCTTCCTTCCTTCCTTCCTTCCTTCCTTCCTTCCTTCCTTCCTTCCCATCCATCCATCCATCCATCCATCCATCCAATTTATTGTCTGTCTTTCTTACTGAGAGTCAAGGAAGATTACACAGCATGAGTTTATAGTTACAGTCGACAGGGTGGGACATCCAGTGAGCAACATAAAAGAATTGGGATTATAGACAATCTGAAACCAAGCAGAAATCTGAAACAAAGCTGCAACAAGGCGTATTAACATGACATGTTAAACGATGGAGAAATTATATAGCAGAAAATACATATAACTACAGATAGCACATGTTCACCATTGATCTTCTGTGCAGCCCCGCATGGGGACTGTGCATGAGCAGGCTTGCTATCAGAGAGGTTTTACAGCTAAGAGCCTCCGGGGGCACCATGTGCCGAAGCCAGAAACTTTTTCCCGCCCAGGGACCATGAACTCCTGCGCAGCAGCGCCCTCCACTACCAGTGTTCCCTCTAAGCTGAGTTAGTGTGAGCTACCTCACAGTTTTTTAGCCTCCTGCTCACAGATTTTTGTCTTAGCTCAGGAAGGACGGCTCCAGAGCAAACTAATTTATGCAGTAGCCAAATCGCTGGTTCACAGCTTTAATGCCAGTTGCTCACAAAGTAGAAGTTTTGCTCACAAGATTCCACAGCTCAGAGGGAACATTGTCCACTACCCTCGGTTCCTCTTTTGCTGCCAGAGGTCATGCATTTGAATCTCCCTACCGTTGCCATGATTTTGCCTAATTCCGAGGCTCCTGAATCATCGACATGGCTCAGAAAGCCCTTTTTAAGAAGTGCTCCCGCTGCCGGAGTGAAAACGACCCGGACCCATGAACACGACCTTTGTCTGTTCTGTCTGGGTGAGGGGCATCCTGTGGTCACTTGTCAGGCCTGCCAGCATTTCACCCCAAAAGCCTGGGGGGGGGGCAGGGCTTCGAAACTGAAGGCAGGCCCGCGGGGAAAGGCCCTCAAAGCCCCCGAGCCTTCGACAAAACAGGCTGAAGCAAAGTGCCGAAAGCCGCGTCTTCGGTATCTCAGCCGGTCACGCTCACGCCCATCGTGCCTCGTCTGAACCTCCAAGCGAAAAACCTCAGGAGAAGACTAAGGAAGGGTGTAAAGTGGCGCCCCAGCAGGGAACAGGTTTCTGGCTCTGGCACACAGTGCTTCCTGGAAGCTCTTAGCTGTAGAACCTACCTGATAGCAGGCCTGCTCATATGCGGTCCCCGTGCGCGCCTGCACTGACGATAACTCGATGAACAACATTTACAGGTAAGTGCAACCCTCTTTTATATGCAGTAGTATAGTCTGCAGTCCCTTCCCCTTCATTAAAGCCTGCGTCTGAACCATCCCATTATAATATAGCCCTAATACATGCCAACCTAGCAGTTCGAAAGCAAGAAATTGCAAGTAGATAAATAGGTACCACTTCGGTGGGAAGGTAACAGCGTTCCGTGCGCCTTGGTGCCGGCCACATGACCACGGAAACGTCTTCGGACAGCGCTGGCTCTTCGGCTTTGAAACGGAGATGAGCACCGCAACCCTAGAGTCTGACTCGACTGGCTTTCGAGCAAGGGAACCTTTACCTTTTAATACATGTGTAAAACTGCCCTCCTGAATATTATGTAGCGTGCAGAATATCAGGAGAATGGGAACCTTCCTATCAGGTTCCTGACTTCATCTGACAGGCCATTCTGTAAGGTGGAAGCCACAACAGAGGAGGCCATGTGTATGGGCAATTTATTTATTTATTTAATCCATCTATACCCCGCCTTTCTCCCCATGCATTCACCACCACCACCAGCCCTTAATTCGGCAAAGGCTCCTGCCACGTTGTTTCCGTCTCCAAATGAGCTCCAGTGTTTGTGCTCCTGAGCGTTAACCGTAGGCTCTTCACAGCTCCTCTGGTTTTGACTGCTTTCCCCCCACCCACGCAGCGTACCTCAAAAAGCCGGCGGAACCGGAAGTGCGGTGAGTGCGAAGCCTGCCAGCTGAAAACTGACTGCGGCCGCTGCGACTTCTGCCGGGACAAGCCCAAGTTCGGCGGGGGGAACCTGAAGCGCCAGAAGTGCCGCTGGAGACAGTGCCTCCATTTTGCGATGGTTGGTCCCTCTCCTCGTTCACCCCCCCTTGGCGCTCTCTCATCTCCTTGACCCGCCTTCTCTCCCTTTCCCTGCTTAAATGCAAGATGGCTTGCTTTGCATCTGAAGTGCAGTAAACCACGCTTACAACCCCCCGACATTAGCCAATAGATATTAGGAGCTAGACTAGTTTTCCAGTCAGTCCCGAGAACCCTGCGCATTCTCAGATCTCACCCCAGCATGTGCCGGTGTGGTTGGCCCACTTGGACGGTGTGCTCCCTCTCTCCCGTTGTCTTGTCTTCTCTTCTGCATGTTGTGTCACCTCGCATCTAATCCGGCCGTGTAATAGAATGCTTTGCTGGTTCAGATCAAGATCCATTTAGTCCAGAAGCCCAAGCTGGATATGCAAATTCCCCCAGTTTGTTCTCGGAAATCTGGAAGCAGGCTGCCTCTGTACGTGTAAGTTCCCGGGAATTGTGATAGGTCTCGTCACAGGTCTGGTCCACGACAGGCAGTATCTTACGGTGTTGTAAGCTGGATACGCTTTAGTGAAGAGCTTTCCCCCCCCTGTGTTTCCTAAACCTTTGGTTGGCCAGCTTTATTTATTTATTTATTTCAGCATCAAGGCACAGCTGACTTAACGGTGACCCCATAGGGTCAGAGGTAGTTTGCCATAGCCTACCTCCACGTCATGACCCTGGTGATCCTTGGAGGCCTCCCATCCAAATACTAGCCAGGGCTTCTGGAGATGTGATGAGATTGGGCTATCCTGGGCTATCCAGGTCAGGGGGCTCCAGTTTTATTGGGTGACTTCAGTTCCTGGCACGGAGAGAGTGGTAACTTGTTCTTTCTCTCCACGTGTCTTGCAACCAGTGTTCCCTCTAAGCTGAGTGAGTGTGAGCCAGCTCACAGTTTTTTAGCTTCCAGCTCACACCTTTTTGCCTTCGCTCAGGAGGGACGGCTCCAGAGCAAACTAATTTACGCAGCAGCCGAATCGCTCGCTCACGACTTGAATGCCAGTAGCTCACAAAGTGGAATTTTTGCTCACGAGACTCCGCAGCTTAGAGGGAGCATTGCTTGTAACTTGGATTAAATTGTAACTCGATTAAATCTTTATCATGTCTTCTTCTCCCTTTATACTCCAAGGCTCCTTATATCTGCCCTTACCTTTTTCCGTGTCCTAGATTCAGGGTGATTGTTATGCTGTTGGCTCTTAGTATGGGAAGAATGGGATATGGTTTTGAAGCACCCGGGGTATTTTATTTCAGACATTTATATCCTGCCGTTGTACCTGAGACGATGGCTGCATAAAGTAAAATAATAATAATAATAATAAAATTGCACAAATAAAGTCAGAACCAGCAGTAGGTAGCTGGCCGATCAGATTAAACATCACCGAAAGCAGATGTGATCACTGTTAGGAGCTTACCGTCTAGGAATCTGGCACACGAAGCCAGGGAGGGCACGCCAAAGTCTTGGTACAACCACAGATAAGGCCCTGTTCTTCGTGGCTTTGTGTCTTGCCTCTGGAGGCAGGGGAAGACTATGGAATCAGAGCCTCAGAAGATCATAATACCTTTTTCTTCCCTTGCTTTCCAGCTGCTACGGATGTAATATTTCAATAGACCCAGTAAAGGAGTTTTACATTAAGAAGCTTTAAGGGCCGAGTGTGCCAAAGGTCAGTTTTGAGCAGCCCTTTCTCCCCGATGCAGAAATCAGTTCAAAGTTTGAATTTGCTGAGACCTCACCCTTCATTTTGGGCAGAATTGCTGTCAGTTTAGGAGCAGGTAGGCATTGCAGCAGAATCACAGGTAGGGGTACGCATTTGCCTTCTGCTCAGACTAGACTGCCAGTGAGTTTCTGCCCTCTCTTGAGCAAACTGTACAAAGGAAAGAGACAAAAAGGGGTGGTGATGTTAGCATTTAGCAAAGAGCCCCCCCCCCCTTTAACATTTTCATGTGGTTGGATGATATGTCTTATTGTGCCAGTCTGGCTGATCACTATTGTTAACTTGGCAAGGAATATTCCCCCAGCTCAAGCTGGCCAGCGATTCCGGGAGTTGTTTGTGTCGGGGGCGGCCTTGCTCACTCGATCAAGTCCCCTGAATTATTCTGCTCTTCTAGTCCCTTTAGTGCAGAACACCTTCATCTGCTTGCTCACTGGGGGCTCTCTCTGCCTGCGGTGGGTTGGATGGGATGCCCTTTGAGTGCTTGCTGGCCCTGTTTGGTCTATGAAAAAGGATCTCAAATCCAGAGTGGATCAGTTGAGGGATGCAAGGGATCTGCTTGCCGTTCGTGGACTGTTCCCCTTAACTCAGGCTTGTAAATAGCCTCTTGCACGGTCTCCTGTGGTGAGTGACAGTCTTTCTTCCCATGCATGGACGCTTTTGGAAAAGCACTGGCTAATTTAGACTATTCTGGTGTGTTCCAGTGGCCCCTTACAGGCTAGCAATTGGTGTGTGCGCGTGGGCTCATAATTCTTGTGAACTTACTTGCAAGATGGTCATTGTGATTTCCTTTTGTACGAAGGTGCCCACCGAAAGTTGGTACACACGTCTGTTTCTGAACAGTTCAGACACCTGCAAGAAGGGGGGGAACAGAAGGTTTGACTTTTTTTTTTTTAAAGAAAGCAGTTGTGTGGTCAGGGCTTTGAACACTCACGTGCTAAAAAAAAAAGGAGATGGAATTCTGAGCATAGACAGTCCATATTCTGCCCTCAGTTATGCTAACCCAGCCCATCTGCATGGTATCTTTCTTGCATGGTGTTTGCCATTTTTGCCTCATCTTTGCTTTGTCAGTGGTAAGGTCACTGGAAGCCTGCCCCCAACTCTTAAATGTTTCCTCTCTGGCTCCCGAGATTTCTGCAAGCTTTATCTGCGCTTTTTCCAGGTATATTTTAAGTCGTTCAGACTCCGAAGACTTCTGGCTAAACAAACAACTCACTCATAATAAAAGCTGAGATCCTCAGGAAATGGAATTTTGTGCCTGATGCCACATTCCATGTCTCTCTCCCCACCCCCCACTGTAAAATCATGAAATACACTACCTTCTATATGACTCGTGACTGAAATGAGAACTCTGCCAATCAGCGCGAAATATTCCAGGAGTCAGAATTTTGTTCTTTGTAAACTGTGCCTGAAGGTATTCCACAAGGAGAGTGCTTTCCGTGTGTTTGTGGGAGATGGTGGGGAACTGTCTCCTCTAGCAAGTTTGGGCTACAGCCACATTTGTCACAGTGTTCCCTCTAAGCTGTGCACGTGAGCGGCCGCTCATTGACACAGGAAGCCCCGCTCAGCAGCAGTCTGGAGCCGCACAGGGTTTCGCACTGCCCATTGCCCATTTTAAGATAATGGCAGTTCTGTTCTGCTCAGGATGTGAACTGCTCTGCTCAGTAGGGGGAAAAAATTAGAGGGAACACTGGATTTTGTAGGTGGGCAAGACACAACCTGATTACGCCACAGGCAGGGCCGGCTCATTCATAGGGGAGGCGGTCACCTGAAGTGGCGGATTTGGGGGAAGGGTTGACCACCTCTCTCCCTGCTGACGTCACCGCTGCCTCTGCACCCATCCAGGAGCTAGATGGGCTAACGCTTCTCTTCACCTCTCCCGTAGGCCTCTCTCAAACCAACACAGCGGTGAATTCCCTGTGAAAAGTGTCGTTGAGTTGCAGTCCACTTATGGCGACCCCGCACGGTTTCGAAGGCAATAGGTGTTCAGAGGTGGTTTTCCATTTCCCACCTCTGCGTGGCGGCTCCAGACTTCCTCTGCAGCCCCCCCATTCGAATACCGGCCAGGGCTGACCCTGCCTAGCTTCTGAGTTATGATGAGATTGAACTAGCCCGGGCCATCCAGGTCAAGGCAAAAGAGCTGAGCAGAGGCGGTTTACCATTGCCGGCCTCTGTGTAGTGACCCTGGACCTCCTTGGTGGTCTCCCATCCAAATACTAACCAGGGCTGACCCTGCTTAGCTTCTGAGACCCGACAAGAGCGGGCTAACCTGAGTCATCCAGGTCAGGGGTGCGTTCCTTGCAGGACTTCCTGAAGTCTCATGTAATGTCGTGAGAATTTGGGAGGAGCCATGCTGGGATCAGAGGGAAGCTGGGGGATCCGTTGCTCCTCTGGCTCCTTGGGTGGGGGCAGCAGCAGCAAGTCTGGGGGGGCACCTGGGGGGGGGACCAGTGCCAGTGCGGTGGGGAGCAGAGGCAGTCGCTTCAGGCAGTAAAATGCTTTGAGTCACAACTAAGCATAGAGCTCTATGTGTATTCGTCTGCAGGCATGAAGGCTGACAGGTCCAGGAAGGGTAACGTAGGCTGCAAATACTTCCCAGTAAGACTCAGCCTCAATGTGTCGTCTGGGTGTTTTGGCCAGGAGCTACATTTCTTACTTGTCTCCTCTTCCCAGCCCGGTCTTGGTCTTTGACCTGATGTGTTGTACTTCCTGTCTCTGCTCTTTAAATCTGGGCCCGCTCTCCCTTCCTACCCTGCTCGTGTGCTGTTCTCTTGTGTGCACACGGTCCAAGCATCGAAGCAAGAGAATTGCACCGGAGCACAGCAAATCCAAAGAGGAGAATAATGGAAAGCTGCTTATAGAAGATGGGTGACAAAGTGGGTGGGGAAGATATGAGACATACGAACATAAGGAAGAGCCCTGCTGGATCAGACCAGTGGTCCGTCTAGTCCAGCATCCTGCCTTACACAGTGGCCAACCAGTTCCTCCGGAGGGCCAACAGCAGGGCATAGAGGCCTTCATAAGAAGACACTGCTGGATCAGACCAGTGGTCCATCTAGTCTAGTGTCTCGTATCAAACAGAGGGCCAACAGCAGGGCATAGAGGCCTTCATAAGAAGACACTGCTGGATCAGACCAGTGGTCCATCTAGTCTAGTGTCTCGTCTCACACAGTGGCCAACCAGTTCCTCCGGAGGGCCAACAGCAGGGCAGAGAGGCCTTCATAAGAAGACACTGCTGGATCAGACCAGTGGTCCATCTAGTCTAGTGTCTCGTCTCACACAGTGGCCAACCAGT